CAAAGGTCACTTGCTCTGGATCCTGCATCTGACTCGTCATATATGGACATTCTGGCAAAGGTCACTTGCTCTGGATCCTGCATCTGACTCGTCATCCTCTGACCTCCAGTTCTTGGGACATGAGCCTGCAGCCTGTCACCTGTCTTGCAGAGTTTGGGTTTTGCCAACTCCCACAACCCCATGAGCCGGCAGCCTTCTGCCTGACTTGCTGATTTTGGGTTCATCAGTCCCTACAACCATGGGAGTCAGGAAAAGCCTGCAGCATGATGCCTGACCCATGGATTTGGGACTTGCCAGCCTCCACAACTGTGTGAGCCATTCCCTTGAAATAAGCCTATATCTATATCTGTATCTATATATGCTTCACTGGTTTTGCTCCTCTAGAGAACCCAATCTAAGACATTTGGTATACAGAGTGGTTCTAGAGAAACAAAAATCTTAAGGATGAGTTTTCTGAATTGGTTCTCAACTTCGGCTAGACCTAAATATGCTGATGACTCTAATTCCAGTAGAGAAGAGGGCACTGCTAATCCATGGCCCAAGGTGGCAGAACAAATATGTAAAATATCACCACCATTGGATGAAATATTTATGACACACAAGGCTCTGGGTGATTGTGTATTTGGCACCTTTCAGCAATTCTGTCAAACTGAGAAGTATAGGGAGGCTGGTTGTCCTGCTTTTTCTAGAAAAATGGTGTAATAAAGAGATGAGCTCAGGTCTTCAGAATCACAGCTCAAGTGCCACATAAAAGACCTAAAAGTTGCCACTTGTGCCCTGAAAGAAAGCCTTATATCTTGTAGTAACAGAGCTGAGATTGCCAAAAAAATAAACTCAGAGTCTTATCGTAAGAGTGGTTGAATTACAATGTCAATTGAATTCCCAGCCTCAAATGGTGTCTGAAGTTAAAGTGAAGGCATTTATTGGGAAGAAATGGGATCCTGAAACATGGGATGGGGACATATGGGCAGATAATCATGAAGATGGGGACATTGAGACTTAAATTCTGTTGAATCACTCCTGCCAACAGTATCAGCTCTCTTACTCCCATCTGAAGAGATTACTCCATCTTTATCAGCTAAGCCACCCTCCTCCAGTAAAACTATTATCCCTTCCACCCCCTTCAGATGAGATTAACCCAGCTGTGTCTGAAAAGTCTCTGTCTGAGATGTCACCTGGGGAGGATCATCAGGCAT